TCGAACAACAGAGTTTTGGCAGAAGAGGTTATAGACGGCCATCTCAATGATTTTGAGATCTCAAATGATTTAAAGCTTTACTCTAGCCAAGGCCATTGTTCAGCTTTGGATAGAAAGCTAAGTTTGTATTTTTTTCTATAACCCCACTAGGGAAATTTTCTTTCACTTCCTGTCCAAGTGACACTTACACAAGAAATAGTTGGGGTGTGGCTGTCACCAGGACAGGAAGACACAGACAAAAGTAAAAGGGTCAGAAGTTCCTGCCCTTCCCTACTCCATTATGTGTTATTTAGTTGTCCACACTGGGGAGATTTCTCATTACTTCCTAGTAAGATAAGGACAGTCTTCCCAGTAAAAGCACAGATAGCAATAAAAAAAAAAAAAACGCAAGAAAAGTCGCTAAACTATTATATCCAAAAAATGTTTTGGCTGAAAATAGGATTTCCTAACAATACGCTGCATTGTTCACCAGTCTGCAATTAGGTTTCATTTTTGGTAAACAGGTCTTTAGCCTTTTGCTTCACTGTAGTGCAGGGGTACTGAATTTAAATTCACGGAGGTCCGATCAGCAAAATGTTATTCCACTGGAGGTCCAAATCGCATGTTTGTGTGATGACTCTGTGCCATGACAGCCCCCATCTTTTATTTTACAATCCCATTCTTACATCAATTTCCTCAGTCCCCCTGCATAATATTATTATTATTATACAGGATTTATATAGCGCCAACAGTTTGCGCAGCACTTTACAATATAAGGGAGACAGTACAATCTAAAGGAAGGGGGAGGTGATACAAAAGGTGATAGCTGCGGGGGATGATCTGGCGGAGGTGATTCAAGTACAGTTCTTAGGTGGAGGTGGGGTATATCACAATCCCCCTTCACATCACAGTGTTCTGAACCCCCTTCACAATGGTATCCTGTGCCCCCCTTCACAGCAGTGTCCTCTGCCCCCCCCCCCCCTTCACATCTCAACCCCCCGCAGCTCTGCCCACCTTCATATTATAGCCCCCGACACCTCTGGCCCCTTTACAACACAGCCCCTGCAGCTCTGGCACCCCTTCACATTACACAGTCCCTGCACCTCTAGGACCCCTTTACATTACACAGCCCCCTACAGCTTTGTCACCCCTTCACATTATACAGACCCCTGCATCTCTAGGACCCCTTCACATTACATGGCCCCCTGCAGATCTGTCATTCCTTAACATTACACAGCCCCCTGCACCTCTGACACCCCTTCACATTACGTGGCCCCCTGCAGCTCTGTCACCCCTTCACATTACACAGCCCCCTGCACCTCTGACACCCCCTTCACATTACACAGCCCCCTGCAGCTCTGTCACCCCTTTACATCACAGCCCCTGCACCTTTGGCACCCCTTCACATTGTACAGCCCCCTGCAGCTCTGGCACCCCTTCACATTACACAGCCCCTGCACCTTTGGTACCCCTTCACATTGTACAGCTCCCTGTACCTCTGTCCCCCCTTCACATCACAGCTCCTGCAGCTCTGGCACCCCTTCACATTACACAGCTCCCTGTAGCTCTGGCACCCCTTCACATTACACAGCCCCCTGTAGCTCTGGCACCCCTTCACATTACACAGCCCCCTGCAGCTCTGGCACCCCTTCACATTACACAGCCCCCTGCAGCTCTGGCACCCCTTCACATTACACAGCCCCCTGCAGCTCTGGCACCCCTTCACATTACACAGCCCCCTGCAGCTCTGGCACCCCTTCACATTACACAGCCCCTTGCAGCTCTGGCACCCCTTCACATTACACAGCCCCTTGCAGCTCTGGTACCCCTTCACATTACACAGCTCCCTGTAGCTCTGGCACCCCTTCACATTACACAGCTCCCTACAGCTCTGGCACCTCTTCACATTACACAGCCCCATGCAGCTCTGGCACCCCTTCACATTACACAGCTCCCTGTAGCTCTGGCACCCCTTCACATTACACAGCTCCCTACAGCTCTGGCACCCCTTCACATTACACAGCTCCCTGTAGCTCTGGCACCCCTTACATCACAGCCCCTGCAGCTCTGGCACTTAATCACATTACACAGCCCCCTGCACCTCTTTCACCCCTTCACATTACACAGCCTTAAAGTGATTCTAAAGGTTGTATTTTTTTTTTTTTTAAATAACAAACGTGATACTATTCTGTGTTCTTTGCTGGCAATCCTGGCTTCTTCTCCCTGCCGAGTGCCCTCACTAGCAAGCCTCTTGCTATGGGGGCACTGAAGCAGGCTCGCTCTCTGGCCACACTTCTGTGAATGGACATTGTTCATTCACACAAAGTTTGGCTCGGCGCCGCCCCTCATTTTCTCCTCATTGGTTCATTGACTTTGATTGACAGCAGCAGGAGCCAATGGCTTCTGCTGCTGTGTCAGCCAATGAGGAGAGAGAGAGACATGGGAGAGCTGTGGCTCTCATACACATTGCTGGATGGAGAAGGAGCTTAGGTAAGTATTGGGGGGGTGCCGAGAAGGGAGCTACACCCAGATTTTTTACCTTAATGCATATAATGCATTAAAAGATAAAGTTCTTCTTTTGGACAAAAATAATAAATGCACTTTTTTTGCAGGTTAAACAATGTGCATTTATTATTTTTGCCCAAAGGAGCCTGGAAAGCATTGCACCAGAGATCAGTAGATCGCCGATGCCATGCAGGTCTCCTGCAGACCTGTCAGAATATCTGCTTGCCGTACGGGATGTATGGTCAAGTAGATATAGTGACAGGAAGATTTAATGAACTACCACGGTGCTCCAAAGCGCAGTGGTAGTTAATTCAAAAATACAAGCCCACAGCCGCTAAGGCTGTCAGGACCTGTAGGCACTCATTCACAGAACACTGTGATTAAGTGATGCAGCCGTGTGGGCAGAGCTCCGCTCTGCTGCGCTGTATTCAAATCTGACAGATAGTACAGAGAAATGTCTCTCCGTGCTGTCAGAGGGAGGGGGGGGGGGGGGGTGTGCAGCGGCTATAGGAACATGTTACATGTTCCACCCTAAAAACAGGTGGAACATGTAACATGTTCCAAAGGTGAACTTATCCTTTAAGGTATTATTATTATTATACAGGATTTATATAGCGCCAACAGTTTGCTCAGCGTTTTACAATATAAAAGGAGACAATACAGTAACAATACAGTTCAATACAAGAGGGATAGGAGGGCCTGCTCCTTGGAGCTTACAATCTAGGTAAAAACTTTCTGCCTTTAGAACCACTTTAATATGAAGCCCCAAGCATGCTGAATGCTTGTGTTCATGCCTAAAGTCAGTCTGATAGACACTAGATGGACAGATCATCATCAATAGATGGTTGCTCATGTCTACAAATCTGACCATCCTTTGTTGGCTATGACCATCTTTACCCGTTACTCAGTGGACAAGTAAAAAACAGCCTGCATTACCTTCAGTAACCATTCATATTCTCCTCTCTTATAACCAGAAGTAAAAATTAATAAAACTGGATCTTTTTAATAAGTATAAGTACCTGTAATAAATAAAAATAAAACAAAAATAATGATCAGTTCAGGTCTATGCAATTGTGAGCAATTGTGTGCTTTGAAAGCGCTCTTTCAAACTCCTGCTAGCAGCAATTTGGATACATTTTACACACAGTGGTCAGCATCCTGCTAGGCCACCTCATCACAGCTATCAAACCGCACTTAGATCTCTTTGATCCATGATGTTCTTATCTCAGATGAAGCTTTAATAAGCAATAGTGTACAAAACAGTTATTACTAGGCCTCAGCAAGGCTATAGTGTACAAATGATTATTGCACTTAAAAATGCCTAATAAATGTAAAAACGTTCAATAATCAATAGTTTCACGATGAAAACTGGGCCCTTTTGTCACCTAATAAAATTAGAAATCCGGCAACCCTGGCAAGTGCTAGGTTTAGATAGATAGATTTAGTTTGTATTCTGATGGGTAAATTTAGTTGTCGCACTGTAGACAGCATGGTTGTAATTGGTTTTAGGTGAAAGCACAACTTGCACACAGTAATGCATCCAGAAAGCTTGAGAAGCTTCAGGATAATAGGTGCGGAGTTATGCAGATGGCAGCATAACTATTAATACAGCCCTGGCCTATGCCAGAGAGAGAGACTCTGATGGCATGCTGGGTAACTGTATATTTTCAGTGAGCACACTGAGTTCTGAGTCTTTCCTTTATAGGATTGTTCCAGCATGTAGAGGACATGCTGCCCTCCCAGGCAATGCTGCTGGATCTACTGCCATAGGCTTCAGGTGGACAACCTGAAGACCTGAAACCTGAGACCCGAGTTCTGCTAAAGCTGACTGAGGGGCCATCTACTGAAGATCTGGTATCACAGATGAAGGAAAGCAGCTGTTCTTGGGCCTTGTGAGTACAGACACCCCTAAACTGTCTTAAATATTGTGTGCTACTTAAAGAACTCTGGTGCTAGGGAGTCAGCTGCGGGTCTCGTTAAAGGGGACACCAGCTAGTATTCCGAAGAGCTTTGTCCACTTAATCTTCTACCTAAAGGGACTCCAGTTTGCTACTACTGTTGCCTTAAAGCTAAAGTCTACTGTTTGATTCAAGCAAGGAATTCACCATAGCTTATCTGAAAGAATACCTAAAGTCCTCAACTGTACATAGTTCTTGTTTTTGGATTATCCACCTAATTCCCTCAACCCTATCCACGTTCTCCACAAATAAAAACAGCACCCATAGACTGATCATTGAAGAAACATGTGAATGAGCCTATGTGCCTGGCTGCAAGGCAAAGCATTTGTGGGAGACCTGAATAGTAATCCTGCGGCTCATGCGGGAGTAGTGCTACATGCAGAATAGCAGCCACTCTTTTGTTCATTTCACATCCCTTCCTGCGGTTACCTAAACATCATAGGGGACAAAGCAGAGCTTCATTTCCAAAATACACTATATTGGGGAATGGGTTTCCATGGCCGAAGCAGCTGCATCCAAGCCTGCATCAGCAAACATTGCAAAGCATGGGTCAGCTCGCAAGCGTGGTACCGTGATAGGTTGCCACCGGTGCCAGTGAAATTTCCTATTGCTAAATAATTCACAGCACGCCTGTTAGTGTTATTATAACTAAAGTGGAAGCAACTGCAACTGCCACGAAGTGGTAGGCCATGTAAAATGACAGCGGGGTGAGTGCATGCTGAAGTGCACAGTAGTCGCCAACTGTCTTGCACATGTCAATAGCTAAAAGACCTCCAACATTCATGTGGCCTTCAGATTAGCACAACAGTGCATAGAGAGCTTCATGGAATGGGTTTCCATGGACGAGCAGCTGCATCCAAGCCTTACATCAGCAACTGCAATGCAAAGTGTCGGATGCAGTGGTGTAAAGCACGCCGCCACTGGACTCTAGAGCAGTGGATATGTGTTCTCTGGAGTGACCAATCACGCTTCTCTGTCTGGCAGTCCAAAGGATGTGCCTGGGTTTGGCGGCTGCCAGGAGAACGGTATTTGCCTGACTGCATTGTGCCAAATGTAAAGTTTGATGGAGGGGGGATTATGGTGTGGGGTGTTTTTTCAGGGGTTGGGCTTGGCCCCTTAGTTCCAGGAACTCTTATGGCATCAGCATACCAAGACGTATTGGACAGTTTCATGCTCCCAACTTTGTGGGAACAGTTTGTGGATGGCCCCTTCCTGTTCCAACATGACTGCACACCACTGCACAAAGCAAGGTCCATAAAGACATGGGTGAGAGAGTTTGGGGTGGAGGAACTTGACTGGCCTGCACAGAGTCCTGACCTCAACCCGAAAGAACACCTTTGGGAGGAATTAAAGCACAGACTGCAAGCCAGGCCTTCTAGTCCGACATCAGTGCCTGACCTCATAAATGCGCTTCTGGAAGAATGGTCAAACATTCCTATAGACACACCCCTAAACCTTGTGGACAGCCTTCCCAGAAGGGTTGAAGCTGTTATACAGTGCCATGAAAAAGTATTCATACTCCTTGAAATTTTCCATATTTTGTCATGTTACAACCAAAAATGTAAATGTATTTTATTAGGATTTTATGAGATAGACCAACACAAAATGGCACATAATTGTGAAATGGAAGGAAAATGATAAATGGTTTTCAAAATTTTTTACAAATAAATATCTGAAAAGTGTGGCGTGCATTTGTATTCAGCCGCCTGAGTCAATACTTTGTAGAACCACCTTTCACTACAATTACAGCTGTAAGTCTTTTTGGGTATATCTCTGCCAGCTTTGCACATCTAGAGAGTGACATTTTTGCCAATTCTTGTTTGCAAAAGAGCTCAAGCTCTGTCAGATTGGATGGAGAGCGTCTGTGAACAACAATTTTCAAACTTTACCACAGATTATCAATTGGATTTAGGTCTGGACTTTGACTTAGCCATTCTAACACATGAATATGCTTTGATCGAAACCATTCCATTGTAGCTCTGGCTGTATGTTTAGGATTATTTTCCTGCTGGAAGGTTAATGCCCTAGTCTTAAGTCTTTTGCAGACTCTAACAGGTTTTCTTGTAAGATTGCCCTGTATTTGGTTCCATCCATCTTCCGATCAACTCTGACCAGACTCCCTGTCCCTGCTGAAGAAAAGTATCACCACAACATGATGCTGCCACCATCATGTTTCACGGTGGGGGATGGTGTGTTCAAGGTGATGTGCAGTGTTAGTTTTCCGCCACACATAGCGTTTTGTTTTTGTCCAGAAAATGTTGGTCTCATCTGACCAGAGCAACTTCTTCCACATGTTTTCTGTATCCCCCACATGGCTTTTCGCAAACTGCAAATGGGACTTCTTATGGCTTTCTTTCAACAATGGCTTTCTTCTTGCCACTCTTCCAAAAAAGCCAGATTTGTGGAGTGCACGACTAATAGTTGTCCTGTGGACAGATTCTCCCACCTGAGCTGTGGATCTCTGCAGCTCCTCCAGAGTTACCATGGGCCTCTTGGCTGCTTCTCTAATTAATTCTTTCCTTGCCCGGCCTGTCAGTTTAGGTGGATGGCCATGTCTTGGTAGGTTTGAAGTTTGCATTTTGGATGGTGGATTGAACAGTGCTCCTTCAGATGTTCAAAGCTTGGGATATTTGTTCACTAATGTTCTTTAACAAACCTCTGAGTGCTTCACAGAGCAGCTGTATTTATACTGAGATTAAATTACACACATGCAGATTCTATTTACTTATTAGGTGAATTCTGTAGGCAATTGGTTCCACTAGATTTTAGTTAGGGGTATCAAAGTAAAGGGGGCTGAATATAAATGCATGCCACACTTTTCAGATATTTACTTGTAAAAAATTTTTAAAATCATTTTCCTTCCACTTCACAATTATGCGCCACTTTGTGTTGGTCTATCACATTAAAATCCCAATAAAATACATTTACACTTTTGGTTGTAACATGATAAAATGTGGATTTCAAGGGGTATGAATAGTGTTTCAAGGCACTGTAGCTGCAAAGGGTGGACCAACTCAATATTGAACCCTACGGACTAAGACTGGCATGCCATTAAAATTCATGTGCGTGTAAAGGCAGGCGTCCTAATACTTTTGGCAATATAGTGCATGCCCTTTCTTAACCAATGACACCACAAAGATTCTAATTCACTACCTGGCCTTCCCTCACCTCAACTACTGCAACACCCCCCTCACTGGCTTACTTTTACATAGACTATCCCGCCTTCATTCCATCATGAATGCTGCTGCCAGACTCATCCACCTTACCAACCTTTCAGTGTATGCTACCCCTCTCTGCCAATTCATCCACTGGCTTCCACTCACCCAACAAATTCAATCCAAACCCAACTTACAAAGCCATCCCACAACTCAGCCCCCAGCTACATCACTATCCCAGTCTTAAAATACCAGCCAAATCATTTCTTCAGGTCCTCCTATGACCTCCTGCTCTAGCTCCCTCGTCACCTCCTCCCATGCTCGCCTCCAGGACCTTTCCTGAGCCTCTCTCATCCTATAACTCCCTACCCCAATCTGTCCGACTATCTCCTACTCTGTCCACTTTTAGACAATCCCTGGAAACTCTTCTCTTCAGAGAGGCCTATCCTGCCTCCATCTAACATCTGTACTTTTATTTTCTCCATCAGCTCATCCCCGACAGTTATTGACTTTTGAATCTCTTGCTATCCCTCTTAGATTGTAAGCTCTATCAAGCAGAGCTCTTTGATTCCTCCTGTATTGAATTGTATTGTAACTGTACTGTCTGCCCTCTTGTTGTAAATGACTGCTGGCCCTATATAAATGCCGAATAATAATACTAATATTCTGGCAGTTTCATGTTTCAGCTACTGGGGGACTTTCTGGGCATCCTGGGACTTATGGTTCCACCAAGAATATGGGTCAACCCATATCCCTACAAAAGCAAGGGTTGCTTTATCTCTAGAGCAATGTATACGTTACCTTCAAGGACCCTGTTTTGAAAATGCAGGTTACCTTACTGTCATGCTAATTCTTTGGCGTCAAAAAATTCAGCATCTCCGATTTGGAACAAGTATGCAACCAGTGACTAAGTACTCCTGATCTGCATACTTGTAGACCAATCAGTGACTCAGAAAGTCCTAAAGGCTGGGCATCAGTGCTAAAGCCAGGTAATGTGCATGTTCAGAGGAAGGTCAGCAATGGCAGCCTACATTGACTGTTTTCTCTAAGCATTGGACTAATACTTGTCAAGGGCTCCTCAGTGGCCATTTTACTAAGCCTAAATTAACTCATACCAGCAGCAGTCCCTGAAGAACATGGGGCAAAGTAAATTGTACATCTAGCACTTTGGCTGGAAGCCTTGAGCTGTCTGTAATCATCGCCCATCTTGGCACCAGGTTCTGCCAGCTCTCAGGTGCAGGCGACAGGCGTCCGAGCCTACCTATATGAAGCTTTGCGTGTTCGCCATCCACAAAATCTTTCCCACAGAGAGCGAGCCGCTGCCAGTATCTGTTACTATAGTAACAAAATGAGAGAGTGTAAGATGGGGGAGTGAACGCAGGATGGGGGAGCAGATTAACTCACACTGTGTGAATCTGAAGGGAGGAAACAGCATCTGAAGGGAGAAAGTTAACAGGAAGACGTGTCAGGGGCCACGGGGCCCCTGCTAGGCATTGCTGCCGGGAGGAAAGCAGTAAATAAAGGCAAAAATAAGGTGAAAGAGCCCAGAGGACATATGAAGGCTGAGTGAGTTGTTGGCACAGCATGAGCGGAGAAGCACAGGTTGTGTGGATAGGGGATGCGACTCCGAGGCAATTTTCGACAACTACTAGCAAAGCCGTACTTTATTATTGAAAAGGAAAACTGTGCATTTGCAAAAAAAAAAAAAATGTAAAGAAATTGCTAACACCACTATTTCTAATACATTTTTTTTCTTTTTTAAGACTTTACCTTTCAATTAACAGGTTCATTTCTGCCAAGATATACACACATAAGGCAGATTTGTAGAAGAGGACACCTACTCATTGAGCCACTAACCTTGCTGCATCTGCCAAACATCAATAATGTTGGTTGTCCAAAAGGAAGGCACATAGAGAGGAGAGGGGCTAGAACCGCTGGAAGGTTTTTATTGCGGTTTGTGTCCCATTGAAGGTAAAAGAAGCAAGTGGAGACTTCCCCAGCAGCAAAAAAAATGGACTCGTAGATTGGGGAGGGCTTATAATCTTTGTCAGCTTTTTAATGGAGGAGAATGCTCTCTGTAGGGCGGAGGATGCCTCATCCACTTATGATTGGCGGTCCATGTAGCAATATGTTATATGCTGTGTATGGCCTCTAGGGGTCTCACTACTTAGATACTGGTACAACTGTGTTATTTGGTCTCTTTGGTTCTTTGGTTGTAGTTCTAAAGGTCAGACACTTGTTTAATGGCAGCTATGAGCACCTAATAAAATGTCTGCTACTAACTACCGTGTGTGAGCACCTGAGCAGGATCGACTAACAGAACATGGTGGCAGCTGGGCACTGGACCTCTGAATAGCAAGTCTTCTGTCTACAAATACAGATTGTGTGACACTAGAACTGTACAGAGAATCAGCAACTGTAAGTACAGAGCCCCTATCAGACTGCACTATGGAGAGTGGCCTGAAACCCCCTCAGAGACTGGATGTCACTTCTTCCAATCTCTCACAGACATGGAGACACTGGAAGGAAGAGTTTACTCTGTATGTGGACCTGACAGTGGCACCCAGAGATGAGCAGAGGGAAGTAAAGCTGTTTTATTACTTGATTGGGGAACAA